AATTTTGCATTTCTTTTTTCTCCTTTTATGATACATTGTTCTAATTTTATGCATTATATTGTTTCAATACAATGCTATTTGTATAATATTAATTAAAGCTATTAGCAGTCTATTCAGCATTTGGAAATCAGATATATAGAAAAAGGAAAGATGCATCCTATATTAATTACAATTTAGAATACCAATATCACAAGCATAAAATTTATTTTTCAGATATAATATTAGAGAAAAAACTGCCATATTGTAAAGGCTTAAACCCCCTTAGAAGCCAAGCTGTAAGTGATTTTATTTCCCATGTTGTGTAATATATTGTGCTTATAAAGAATCCTTGTTTAAATTTTGTTAGACTTCTTTTGTGTACATATACTGTTAGTTTTTACATTGCTGCATATTCTTCAAGTTTAAGCTAGTTTAAGTCAATCCAATATTGTCGAAACTGTATCTTTCTTCCAATACTGAGAAAAAATTATTCTTGCTGCTGTAAGCATATATCTCATTAAATCATTATTATATTTCTTGTTGAGTTTTCTGAGATTATATCCCATAAGATATAAATCATTTCAGATTTAAATTCCAATTTTTTTTTCATTGTACTATATTTATCTTTATACTTTGGGTTTTTTTTTTACATGTGATTAAATGTTTCTTTAAATTACAACTTGGTATACATTGCAAACCTTTAGTCCATAATTCTTTCCATTTTGTAAGTGTTTCTCTAAAGGTTGTATCAATTTTGTCTCACAGTTTTTTCTTTCTTCTGTCTCTGTATCATGTATAGGTACAAAATTATATGCCCTAATAGGTAATATTGATTTTGTTTGAGCATTTTAAATTCTGTCTTTTTTTTTAATATCCCTCCTCTTATTTTGAGATATGATTTTATCCTTCCAGCAGTTTGTAAGTACTCCAACCAAGATATCTTTCAGCCTTCACTGAATTGTTCTTGCTGTATCTTTTAATATGTTTTGGAGTCTGAATGAACCATATTTGCATATGTAATTACATTTTTCTTGCTGAAATGGTCTCCAACATAAAAAGGATTTGTAGGAAAAGCTAAAGGTGAAATTGTTGGACTTATTATTCCTTTTGGGGAATTCTACATTTTTATCAGCTTTTGTCTATGGTTGTGTCTTTTTAAATGTGTATCCTTTTGTATCTCCGTACCATAAATATCTATAAAGTCATTAGCTAAATTGGCTCCATCCAAACCTGCTATTCTATTTGAGGGTTTTATCCACTCTGTTATCCATCCCATATGAATTTATTGACAGGTATTTTGCCATTCTTATAAAGTTCTTTCTGAAATTCTGATTGGCGCAATTTGGGATAGTTTATTTTGGGCAGGATGTCCATTATGATGATTGCAATTTATTCTAACCAAGATTACTTTAAATTCCTCCACCTTTCAAGGTATCTTATTATTTCCTTGTTGATTGTAAGCAATTTGAGATTATAAATTTATAATAATAATTACTTAAATATGTTAAATAATGTGTATATTTAAATACCTTAGCATGATGTGTGAAGTGAACCTGCTATGACAAACCCTCTTCTGTTTCAATTCCAAGTGATATGACAGGTTGGTAAAATCAGCTGGCCCATATTCTTATACTTACTCCTGATATATTTTTACGTGCAATGCACTCTGGCTATAGCCCACCTGAGAAGCCTCTGCTTTCTGTAAGGGGTTTTGTAGAAAATAAAGGCAGATAGGATTCACCGGAACTATGCAAAATCAGCCTAGCAATGGTGACTTGAAAAGACCGTAAAATTTGCTGCTTAACTCTATTCCTGATTTATCACACTTTGAGTGCGGTCCAGTGAAATGCAAACTTTTTTTTTACATCAGCTTTGTGTATGTCTATGTGCGTATGTGTGTTTGTGTATATGTGCTCATAAAGCTATTCTAGCAGATTGCATCTGTCCTTGACTGTTTCAATATGGTAGCTATCTATGTTTATTTGTTTCAGTGTTTAATACATGGCAAAAGATGTTATCACTGTTAATCCCTGTGGGTTCTGGAGGAATTTTTGGTTGGTGAGGATTAGTGGTTCATTCCTTTAACTGGCTGTACACTCAGCTGGCTGCAGGAGCATTTCAAGGGCAACTCAACCATATAAAAGGCCCCGTCATTGACAAAAACCACAGACTCAAACAAGAGCCTTGAGAGAAATTTGGACAGCTCTCCTTGTAATACATTTTTTTAAGCTCACCTAGTTCAGATGTAATTTTTTGCACACAATTTGTGCAAAACAATACATTATTCCCTTTGTTTATTCTTTAGATAATTATTTTATTTTACTTCCAATATAGGGGGTGTCCAATCCTGGCAACTTTAAAACTTGTGGACTTCAACTCCAGAAATTCCCAGCCCACAGGTTTTAAAGCTGCCGAGTTGAACATCCCTGTTCCAATGTTTCTCTTGCACTAATATACACAATTTTCATTTTTTATTTTCCTCTGTGACTTCAGAGCAGAACAACAGTGAAAACCTTGCCAGCTAACAAACGTCAAAGTTCTTTTGGCTTGCCATGAAAGTTTCTGAATGTGGATTACAACGGCTTGACTCTTGTCAATTAATGGTTGTTTGAATACTTCTTCGCTCTTGAATAATACTACTTGTTTCTTTCTTATAACTCTAATTGGCAACAACAAGGAACATTTCAACATTATGGAAAAAAGCCATTTTTGCTTTTTTTAGTAATACATAGTTACTAGTAGACTCTAAACCCAAAATATTATGTGAATTATTTGATATATGATATAAAATTGGACTCTAATCAGACAAAGCAGGAGTCTTAACTGATATTATCTGAAAAACCTAAGTTCTCCACCTCCTTAATTAAGGCAAGTTGTTTACCAATTCTAATAGTGTTATGAGATCCATTGCAGTGGAGCATTAGTGAAGATAGATTTCTGTATATCTTCTTAAAAAGCCAGCATTGGCCATTTTTCATTTTGAAAGGAAAAAATATCATAGCCCACAATGGAGATTTATTACATTCAAACTTTCAGTCTTTATATTATGGCTTGTCTAAACACAGTTTATTAACCCATTCAAAATTATAAGCTGTAAATTATGTAATGGTGAATGTATCCATAAACACCTGTAATATTATGGAGAAGAGCCATCCTCTTTTGACCTTTCTGTTTTGTAAATAATTTTCCGAAGTCTTCCAAGTGAGACAGAATTCAGATTGTAAGTAAGATGTTCACTTTCAATGGTAGGTCAAAATAAAAATATACTTCATTAGTAACACTATTTCTTTTCATACTACCTTTGGCTCTGTCAGAAAAAAAACCCTCTGTTCTGTCTCCAGCCATATAAATATAAACCAGATAGATCAGACTCAGTAACATTATTATAATGATGGCTGATTTAAAATAACAATAACCTTCAGTGCCATGGTTTATCAGGTACATAGCAAAGACATCATATGTTTAAAAAAGTTGTGGTTTGTCTGACTAAGCAAATTAGAATAAATGCAGTATTACAATGGTAAGACACACTAAAGAGGGAGAGGAGTCTACCCTCAAGCTTGTGTATTTTTTTTTCTTCAGTGATTCAGAGACGGCTAATTCATCTAACCTTCCAGAGGCTTGTCAATTCCTAGAGCAAATTCCCTACTTGGATCCGCATGGCAGATCTTGTCTTTGATATGCCAACCTCCCTATGTGTACAGGGTTTCTATTGACGTCAGCGAGATATACTGTCTCTCAAGGATGAGAGAAATCTGGAGTCTAAATTGATCTCGTCAGCAGAGTTTTATCCAATGTTTTCAAAATGGTAAAGGATTATTTTCCCCTTTAAAAGTAATTATGTGTTGATTTTATTGGTAGAACTCACAACAATCATTATTGGAACGTGCATTGTGTATATCTGGCTGCTTTTTTTGAAGGTCAAACATTCACTAAATACTCTGATTAAAATATCATCCTCTACGTTTTTTTTTCCTGTGGATGTAGCTAATTAGTTCTGGTGATCTTACTGCATATTCTAGTGAAAAAAATATTTTGTTGGTGATTGAAGACTGTGCAGAAACATTCTATTCATTCCAGCCTGCTGTGTGATTTTATTTTTTTTAAGAACAGCACATCTGTCAGCATTAAAGCTCAATATTTGCTTTAATGTGTTTGTGACCTTTGGCATTTAAATTGAAGCCTTAAAGATCAAACTGTATTTAGATCAACCATCAGAGCTCTGGGAAGCTATTTTTAGACTATGTTACATTTGAAACTCTTAAATGAATGAAATCATCTTCAGTCAATTGTTAAAATATAATAACAACAACAACAGCAACAACTTTATTGTCACTTTGAATGTACACCAATTGGCATACATCAAAATGAAATTTCGTTGCATACAGCTCTCAAAGGGTCACCACCTCCGATATACACTCCTTGTTTGTGGCCAGCTCAAGTTTCAGATCATCCATTTTAGTCTCTCTGGAGGAAACAATGGCAAACAAGACAGATGGAAATGGAGCTCTATGTGGATTAGCCCTCAAATTAGCTTGTATTCCTGCACAACAACTTCGTCTCCTTTCCTTTTTCTGATCCTGACTCTTCTACCTTTTCCTTAAAGAGGCCTTGCTTCTTTTCGCCCCCGGAGCATGCTGCCACTGCCACCAACTCCTCCAAAAGCCTCTCTCTCTTCCTCTGGGCCTGCCAACAGCCTCATCCAGTTCCTTCGCTCCATAAGCCCTGGGACCTCTCCTCCTTTGGAAACAGCCCTGATTTGCAATAGAATCCATCGCTGGGCCAGCAGTCAGATCTTGCTGCTGGCAGAACAATTACTGTTGTATTTAGTGTGGTTGTAATATAGATGTACAACTGCATTGCACATGCCTTATTTGTGATTTTCTTCTTGGATCTGTAACTCCAGTTGAGAATAGATCATGAAAGTTAACAATTCTCTACTGGGTTTTTAACATTCAGAATTTTTTACGATCCAAGTCTATTTTCTTCCCAGTATTCCTTGATTTTCTCTTTATTGGCAGGGAGTACAGGGGAAAACTGGAACTGCTTCTCATGCTTTGTGGAATGAAGAATGAATTACATAAACATTCAGCTCTGAATTTCAGTCAAAGCCAAGATCTGTCAAGCTTTATGAGGTTTGATGAATGTGCATATTTCTAATTTGAACAAAACATACTGCATGCTTAGTGCTGTCTCTAAAGATAAGATGTGTGGTTTAATGCGGGGTTGGGACATTTTTGAGGGCTTGAGACTTCAATCCATCCTCTCAGTCTTCTGGACAATTGTAGGAGAATGTCTAAGAAGCATGATCAACCTTTTTGGAAATGACAATGGGAAAACCTGTTGGAGACAAATTATCATCATTCCTGTAATTAGATCTGATTGAATTCAGTTTGGCCATTTTGCTGCTGAATTTCAGTAGTGTGATCTTGGGATGCTGGAAGTGGAGTGGGGGCACATGCAGGCCACAAGCTAAGAGTAACCACCCTGCAGCTCAGTGTTTTCCTTCTCTCTAAGTCATTGTTATTTCAATTTTAAATTCAGCCAGGGTAATCACAAACTAAAAGTAAGAATGCTTTCTCAGGCCTAATGAAATAAGGAAAGAGTGATGTATGAGTCTGTCATCTTCATTTCAGTTTTTTAAATCCCTACTATTCTTTAAAATTAGTGGTGGATATAAACAAATTGCCTGTCAAGCTTGTTTACACTGCCCCGCCCTTTTGTTGAATATATGTTTGAGAATTGGCAGGGCTTTGGAACTAAAATCATCCCACTGTTAGTCTGTTGTGACATCAGGGATTTCCATGTCATTAAAAAATCATATGCAGTAAGCAAATGGAGATGGGGATAAATAAATTTCTCCCTTCAGATTTAAATGGAGAACTCTATTGTCCTTGAAGCTTTATTTTTGTATTATTAAATCATAAAATAATGAAAATTCAGGATTTTCTTCTAAATAATGAAAACAGATTTTTTTCATCATGTACTTTGTGATTCCTACATTGGAAATATGAGTCTGTACAGACCCTATTTAGAATCTTATAGAGCTATTCCAGTCATTCTGTAAACTTTAGAAGGCTCTGAAGCAGGGGTCTTCAAACTTAGGCCTTTTATGACTTGTGGACTTCAACTCCCAGAACTCCTCAGCCAGGGCCCAAGTTTGAAGACCCCTGCTCTAAAGCTTTCTAAAGCCCATAACCAACATGTTGATGCCATCTCGAACATATTTTTAGTTTCTTTCATTTTTTTTTATTTTCATGAATCTTTAACATTGTAAAAAAAACAACACCAAAACTTCTTCATGGGCACCCTGGCCTTCCATTGCAGGTGCCAACATTACAAAATGGCCAGATAAGCATTTGGTCCAGGTTAGATAATACAGGTTGTTTTTCCAGGTATTCCTTAAATAGGTTCATCACAATCGCTCTTCTTCTTTTCAAGCTGCACTCCTAGAGCAATATTTAAATGTGACAGATGGAATTATTATAACTCTCTGCTTTTTCTTCCAGCTTCTTAGTATTCCCAAAAAGTGACTGGCAGCATGCTAATTTTCAGGTCTGTATTACGCCATTATCAGCTTGGAGGAAATCATATATTAAGGCAGTGATGGCGAAACTTCTAGAGACCGAGTACCCAAACTGCAACCCAAAACCCACATGCATTGCTGAGTGCCTGGTGGGTGTGGCCCATTGGCTGGGTGTGGCTCATTGGCTGGGCATGGCCCATTGGCTGGGTGTGCCTGCGATGGTAACAGCAGACTGGGTGGGACTAAAAAGTTCAATCAATCAATTCCAACTTTGCAAGATCTTTTTTTTCCCCGCAAGAAGTTGAAATTGACTGATTGAATCTTTTTTTTTTTTTTGCACACGGCAGCGGAGACCTAAAGCGAAAAAGTTTTATAAAACCCAGCTGAAGGCCTAGGACTGGGGCGATGGTGCATGTGCCCACAGAGAGAGCTCTGAGTGACACCTCTGGCACCTGTGCCATAGGTTCGCTACCACTGTACTAAGGAGTCAAAGTTTTGAAGCTAGCCAGAGCTAACCAGGTTGAAAAAAAGACAATAGCTTTGTTAGTTCTGGCTGTAGAAGCCTTGAGTTCTTCCCAATGTTCTCCTAAAATTCCACTACACTTAGTCTCACTATTGATAAATCTAGCAACTTGTTCTATCCAAATTGGTTTTTCTTCAGATACAGAATTTAATATTGGAAGGAGAGGTTTTAGACAGATGTCCTTTGAGATCTATTTGTCCAAGTTGTCCTTTTATCCATTTGAAGAATCAAAAGTGAGAGCCTCCTCTTTAACCATCTCAGAATCATTGAGTTCTCCCTTGACTTCTGAATGGTGTCTTATTCAATGGTGTCTTATTGGTTACTTTCAATACCTCAGCCACAAGGGAATGTGATTCCTATCTATGGAATTGACACTTTCACATCTATACAATGTATTATACTGTACTTCTTTCATTTTGTGGTTGATGAATCCATTTCCCAATTTCGTCTTTTACTACTTGACTTCTCCATAGCCCAGGATAGTTGATATTACTAAACTGAGGTGTCTCATCAGAAGCCCAAGATGCTTGCAGCGCTTTAGCCTGTGGATCAGTCATGAGCATTTTCCCCCTTTTTCTTCCATCACAGTTTATAAGGGTGGCAAAAGATACCACCAGAAAACATTTTCCTACTGCTGCCATAACACTGTACACTTCGGCTGCTTGAACAGAAGATCTGCCTAACACAGTGGTTCTCAACCTGTGGGTCGGGACCCCATTTGGGGTTGAACGACCATTTCAAAATCCGCCATTTTTTTCCCCTTTTCCTTAGCTGTGCTACTCCCTTTTATTCTATTGGCTTTTGAAAGCCAATAGAATAGACTCTCTTGAATAGAGTCTAATTCTAATGGCTTTCAAAAGCCACTAGGAATTGTCCAGGCTGTCTCTGCCCTGCTGAGCCCGCCAAAAGTCCCATTCTGCAAACGGTGCTGCACCAGTTGAGTAGTCCTCGACTTACGACCAGTTGAGTAGTCCTCGACTTACGACCGGTTGGGGGTTGCGGCATTAAAAAGGTTGAGAACCACTGGCCTAACAGGAATCAAATCCCATGTTATTCTTCTAAGTCTGTAACTTCAGTCATTTGTTTTGTCAATCATTGGACAATTGTTCTTCATGCCAACTATTCAGTTCTACTTTCCAGGGCAGGTCCTCTTCTCAGTCTTATTTCACTGGAGGGGTACCCTTCTCCAAGGCATGTTGTAACAACTGATACATCCATATCCAGCTAGAGAGTTCACATATCTCTCTACACCCAATGTGCTTGATCCAAATTGGAAATGTTACAATACATCAACAAATTTGAATACCTCAGTTTTTGAAAGTCCAGACTATTTAATGAGAGTTGGTACATTAACAAAAAGGGTGACATAAAGTCTGTTCCCCTTTTCACTCTAAAGTATACATTTGCATTGGTCGTTTTATCACTTCATCTTTATCCTGGCAATCCATATTACTGATCAATTCAAATATACCAGCTGCCCACTAATATAAACTGCACCCTCACCAAATTCTATTAAGGTTAACCCAGGGACAACTTGCATCATGGAAAAGCAAGCAGTGTATTATCTTTTTACAGAATGATAGGATAGTTTCATAGTTTCTTACTTACATTTTCTTTTTATTGGACTATGTTTCTGCCCTTTATATCCTGACCAGAATCTTGGCAAAGATCAAAGATTAGCAGGATGTGACTAACTGCTTATGTATTAAAAGTTGGTGGCCTTATCAGTCATTTAATTGCTGATATAACCTCTACTCCAGGGACAAACTTTTCATCCAGATTGCTGTTGTTTCCAGATTGGAGGGATTCAATTTCTAGTCCTTGCGGGATGGCTGTAAAGCAGATTATGTTGGTTGCTAAATTAAAATTCTTTGAAGAGTTTATTCACAAATAGCAATTTAACTCTGCAATGTCAGGTCCACAGGTTTTATCCTTACTCCATACTTGAAACATTGAAGTTTGGTTCTCTTATCAATGAAGGGTTCAAACTTTGTATGGAAATTGAACCCACATCCAATGAATCCTCATAGGATGAATCTGGTAACATGGTGCTTCCCAGTGGTCATTTTAACTGAAAATACCCATAAGAAGCCTTCCTCCAGAGAATCACAGAAGTACTTAAGAGTTTGTGAATGTTCAGAATTTCTGTCTAAATATGACCTGATCTGTTTTCCACACATCCTTGGTAGCTTTGGATTCATTTTTTAAAATGAATAATGAATCTATTCATTTTACTCAATGAATAAATATGTTTTTGATTCATTTGTTTAGTTGGATTTTCTTTATGTAATTTTGAAATTTGTGTGGTGAGCAGATCATACATTAAGTCATATTTACATAGAAATTTGTAAAGTTCAAAAAGGTTCACAAACTTTTCAGTCCCATCATACCTACTGAAAGCATGCCATTTGGTTACATGGTTCAACCCTCTATCCAGAACTATGAACTAGATCTTTACGCCAGAGAGATACAATCACTGAAAGAGTTGTTCTGCCTTCAGTATCTTATTATGACCAGACTTTCCTCCAAGAAGTTTGCTTTTGGAAATGAAAAAGTAATTACTTAATTATAACTACATGTCTTGGTGGAGAGAGATTAGCTGAGTTGGAGGAGGAGTCAAACAGGGAATTAGTTGGGAATAGTTACATAGGCACAATAGGTCTGATCACCCTTTAATGCTGTTGAACCTTATCTAGTCTGGACCAGATCAAACTGCCAGTCTGGGAAGATTATTGTGAAATAGGCATTGAGCAATAAAGTAGCTAATTTGAACTCTTTGTGGGTGGGTTTGGTTGTGCCTGGCATTCCTGAGTAATCATCTATGCATTCACCCAATCACTTGGTTTAGACAACTAACTGTTTTTTTGAATCTGGTGGGACTGAAAATTGGAGACAGAACCAGTTGTGTAATATATTGGGGGAAAGAGAGGCATGGCCTAACAGTTCTATAAGAAGAACAACACATGCACAACCCGTAATGCATAATTCCCAAAGAATTGTAGAACAGCAAATATAGGGAAGGAATTAATTTGGGGGGGGAGTTAAATTTAATTTTTAATTTTAATTTTTAAATTAAAATTTGCAAT